ACAAATACTGGTGGACTTGGGTTGTTACAAATAGTATCAGAGTCAGACACCGGGCGATGTGCCAACGTTTGTTGGCCCCCAAGAGGGTGGATTGGGAGATCTCAGATCAATTGGAAAGCGGAACGAAGCATTTCTTATAAAGGTGTGGAAACCTCTACTTAAAAGATACATTTTAAAAACTTTGAGAGAAGAACAATATCTGTTATAGGTGGGCTTGGATTGTTACAAATGGTATCAGAGCCAGAAACCAAGCGGTGTGCCAACAAAGACGCGGGCCCCCAAGGGAGTGGATTGTGTGATCTCACATCGGTTGAAAAGGGGGAACGACACATTCCTTATTAGGGTGTGAAGATCTCTCTCTAACATACACGTTTTAAAAAACCCTGGAAGGAAATCTTGAAATGAAAATTCAAAAAAGAACCATATCGTAGTTACAAGTACTCCAATTTTATCATCTTTTTATCTCATCCATTGTTTCAGGTCAGAAGAAATACAATTTCAAGGACTGCTAAACCAAGGACCATCAAATGGCACCTTTTACTCAAATGGTCTCTCAACCATCCAATTTCCTCAGGTTCGTCTCTCGATTAGCTTCATTGTTCAAGTCACGGACCAACACTTACTCATAGAATTCTACGAAACATTTTAGCTATGATTACTAGCTATGGTTCATGACCTTCAATTTTACTCGAAATCGAGTCATTCTCATAATATAAGCTTCTTCGACAACGTAAAACAACTAATCGAATAAATCGAGATCGCTCGAACCACAACTTTCAAAAGGGTTTCTTAATTTTCTCTAGAAGATAACATTTTCTTTGATATATATATATCTATCTTCATTGCAGACAAGATTGAATCTGCAAGATGGGCTGCCAACACCTTCCAATCTTCACCTCTCAAGGAATTGGATTTCTGAAGGCAATGGCTTGAGCAATGCTACCACCCCTCCAACTTCAAGGTACTTCCTATCTTAATTTTAGTTCAGATTTATTAAACCCAAGTTTAAACCTCTATTAGACACAATATCACTAAGGGCTCAAACCCTGTCTGTTTTAGCTTGTTACCTATAGCCGTTCAGCTTCATGGTTTTAAAATATTTCAATTACGATGAGGTTTCTAGACTCTTATATAAGGAATGATTTGTTTCCCTCTCGAACCAACGTGGAATCTCATACTTAGGGACTAAATTTGTAATTTAACTATTTTGATAGTCTTAGTTTGATAAAATTGAAGTTTCGAAACAGATCACCACAGAATAGAAACGCAGTTTATGACCCAACATATGAGTCGATGGGACTACCTGTAGATCCTCATTTACGCATGTTTCTGGCGAGACGTGATCCAACAGGTAATATCAACGTACCTGTTATTTTCTTACTACTTGGAATGTTTCGATTCGGTTTTATCTTTTATGTATCGAACGCCCTTTTATTAAAATTTAATGTGGATGCATTCTCGCTTCTTAAATTTGATTTTCAGGCGATGAGATATGAGAAGTGAGAAGCATCAACCCGCTACATTTTCCTTCAGAAGTTGAGTCCATCATTGGTATGAGTCAATAAGCTCGACTAATTTAGAGCGGAACATTAAGCATTAGAAATAATTACATGTGTATACTATAAGTGCATTGCATTGTTAACGCATGATTTAGTCTTTGAACAATTTATTAATCATGGAGCATTTGTAGTAGAAGTTATTAATCGTTAAGCATTTCTAAGAGAAATTATTGATCGTTAAGCATTTTTCGAAGAAGAATTGTTAGTATTTTTCTCTTCACACAGCTATCAGTTGTACGTTTCGTTTCGAAGTCAAGAACATTGTGATCAAAGTATTTTTTTAATACAGTGTTTTATTGTAAGTGAATATGTGAGATCTCATATTTATTGAAGAGGGGAATGAAGTATTTCTTATAAGGTTGTGGAAACATCTTCCTAATAGACGGATTTTTAAAACCGTAAGGCTGACAATAATATGTAACGAGCTAAAACAGACAACATCTATTAGCAGTATGTTTGGGTTGTTACAGTTGATATCATAGCCTGACACCAAGTAGTGGGACAGTGAAGACGCTGGCCTTGAAGAGAAGTGAATTGTGAGGTCCCATATGGGTTAGAGAGAAGAACGAAACATTCCTTATAAGAGTGTGGAAACATCTCCCTAATAGATGCATCTTAAAACTGTGAGGATAACATTGATACGTCGAAGAATACATTTCACCTTTGATTTGATGGTCGAAGTGTGGCACCCACTTGTCGACAAAGAAAGTAGCTTGTTCTTGATTTGGACACCACAAAAACAAACACCAATATATCAAGATCGATCGCTCTCACACATCCACAAACAGAAATTACACAGACACAAATTTACGTAGTTCGGAGAGAAGAAATTTTTCTACATCCACGAGTGGTAGCCAATCATTATAACCAAAATGTTTACAAGTGTATTTCTCACTCTCATACTACAAAGTGTCCCAATTGCCTCTAGACAAATACAAAATAATAATGACTTCACATGACTCTACCTGACTTGACTTCATAGCTCAAAACAATGCTAGACAAGCCTTTATATAGGCATAACAATACTAATTCTCATAAATGAACTAAATAAATGAGAATGCTAATCCAAAAGGTTACAAACTAAAATAGAGTTAATAATCAAAATAAATAAGAATATTAATCATTTCGGTCTAATAACCAAAATGAATGAGAATTGTGACAATTCATCTTCATAACAATTACAACACTATTAAGTCACACATCTCTAACTAGCCTCAAGTCTAGCTCAACGGTAATGTATTGGAGTGGAAAGGAAAGTGGAAGCTCTATAGACATTGTACAAGCTGTTATAGACCTACGAGGCTACCTTTGTCATCCAAGGTTGTCGTGGTGGTCTTCTAGGTCTCAAGGATGGTTTGACAGTCTTGGAATAGATTCACGTCTCTAGGTTTCTCAGTTTCGACTTCCTGAGTCTGGATCGATTAGGAGCACTAGAGCCACACCCTTTGATTGTCACTCAAGATTCAATTGCGCTCAAACTACTAGAGACGTCCCATCCTAGGTCATAGTATAGCTAAACTGACGCTTTCACCCTAGTTTTAATTTGTTTCTACTACTTGTTCTCTACAGGGAGAAGTCACACATTCAATCATCTGTAACTAATATATAGTCACGCATGCTCAACGGGGTGAAAACATCCATCAAGCACCTAGAGCGCAGATACACAATTTTTCATCCACCATTTCAACATAATTATGTACAAGTAGTAGGAAAACAGTCCATCTGAACACGCATGAAAAAATTCAGTTATGCCAACAACTAGTTAGACTAATCTCATATTTATCCAATCGTCCTAGGTTTATATCATATCGAATCTATCAACCCAGGGTTTAGTCATACTAGCATGCATACATATCTAGATGATCCCTACAATACTTCCTAGAATCCATGTGGTTACTTACTTGGATGACACATGCCTTCCCGAGCTAGCTTTTTCGCGTGTTAGAAGCTACTAAAATTTATGAAATTTCTCTGGTAGGACCTAATTCAAGAAAAGAAAAATTAGGGTTAGTATTGAAATTGAAACAAAAAACTGACAAACGGAGGTCGAATGAAGCAAAAAGGAGTCACTCACGTACCGTTATGTGTCCACACACACAAGGAGGCTTCTCACAGGTGAATAAGCCACGCGCATAAGGTAGGTAAACTCGCGCTAGCCTTGAGACATGTGGTGGCCACTGGTTGGTGAAAATGACCTCGGCTATTCAAATTCGAAGGATATAAGAGTGTTTGATACATAAAAGATAAAATTGAAACTCTTAAAAGATCAAAGATGCGAAAGGGGCGTGGAGGCTCCTAGACACCTATCGTCTGCTAATGGCATACGTAATACCTTAATTTCTTTCGAAGTTGTTGTGGTGATCGTCTAGATCTCTAGGGTTGTTTGATGGTCTTCACAAAGGTTTACATCTTCAGTTAACGTGATTTTGACCTTCAAGTCTGGTTTGGTCAGGAGCAAGGGGTCTCACCCTTTATTCGTCACTCACGAATCCATATTGCTCTTCCTCTAAAGGTGTTCATCCTAAGTCATAGACTAGCCAAACAATTCCACACACCCTAGTCTAAGGTTGTTCTTACCCTTTTTTTTTTTTTTTTTTTGAAGTATTTTCTTCCTAGGTCCATGGAAGCATCCCAATCACTTTCTCCTTCTCTACAACAATTGGAGCTTCATCTTTAAGGCTTTAATAAATCCCGAAATCTCAAAATTAAAAACACACAATATATTCATACCTGTTGAACTCGAGTGTTACACAAAGTTGCGGTCCCACTAAATAATATTGAATTTTCACAAAGTATGCATCAAAGCTTTAACTTCATTGTGTGTAGCTTATTTTTTTGTGGAGTCTTGGTAGAATCTTCAAAAGGAGAACAGAGAAATGAAGGGTGATATGTCAAATTGATTGGAAGAACGTGAGTTGTTTCGATAGGATAGAGACCTAAGATGATAGAAAAAATAAATGCGTCCATGTCTTATCTTGTCTTGTACTTAGAAAGATTCTCTTTCTTTTGTCATGGCTCTATCTATTCATCTTTCTTTGATCATGACCTTTTCTTTGACCAAAATCCTTGGCAATGGGTCCAATGCTCATATTTGATTGTAGCCTATTCTTGTACTTCATCCAAATTTATGATCATTTATACCATAAACTTTAGTAAACAATGATTTACGATAGAAAATTTTGATTACATTCGACTAAATTGTAACAAATTTGGAAGTATAAAAACAAATATGAGCAACTAGTCAAGTCAATGGCGTACATATTAGTTATATATAATAGAAGTTAATACATAGGATGTGATTAGTTTGAAGGGGACTTCTCTCATAAATTGAACCATTCACTAACATTTCAACGTAGAAAGACCACACAAAAATAAAGATAATTTAGAGATCACAACACATATGAACATAAAATCCAAGAGGTTTCTATCCCTAGGACCCATAGAGCTGAATGAATATAGAAGTGAAACAAAATATAGAAGTGAAGAAGGAAGAATCAAAGAAGCATGGAAGCCTCGTTTGCATCCTATTGTTGTTTGTGTTTCATCCTCTTCCTTTCCCTCTTTCCCATCCAATCTGTCAGCAAATACCCATATTTAGGCACTGCAAACCAGACATCCGGGTGCTCAATCAACGATACCAATTCAACACCAAATGGATATTATTCATGTGCATATGTTCCTTATTCCTCATGTTCTTCCTATTTGATTGCAAAATCCAAGTCTCACAATCAAGACTTGGGTTTCTACGATAAATCAATTGGAAACACTAATTTGTTGATGAAGGCAGTTGGCTGTAGCTGTGGTGGGGATCATTTGTATGGGAATATCATGGAATATAATACCACGAGTGGTGATAGTTATGAAACAATAGCCAATCATGTTTTTTATGGCTTCACAAGCTGTTCTATGTTGAGAAGCTTTAACCCCAACCATTCTATTGATATTAATGCTTCCTCAACCGAAGGAATTAGTGTTGAAGTTTGGTTGCGATGCGCTTGTCCTACCCAGGATCAGAAGAATCTTGGGATTCAGTCATTGGCTGTGTATATGGTACAACCAAATGAGAGCATTTCATCAATAGCGAGGGATTTGTTGGTGGAGCAAGACAGCATTTTGGAAGCAAACATGCTTTCCAATACAACCCAACTCTACCCATTTACGCCTCTTTTGGTTCCATTGAACACATCTGAGACATGCAAAATCGACCCATCTAACTCAGACGCCTGTGTATCTCGGTATTTGAAGTCGTATCTCAAATTTGTTGCTATTGCTGCCATCATCTCCATTACATTCGGTCCGTCTCTTTCTCTTGCCTTGTTTACAATTTTTGTATGATTATTACTATTTTATTTTTTATCATCTTTTATCATCCATCAAATATTCCTTGTCCAAATCGTCTTTGGAGTGCTAGCCCTCCACAATATTGTCCATGTGGGACTACTCCTTAGCTCGAACGAAAGTTTATTTGACACTTGAGAATTTTATTGACATGACTAAACTAAGAACATGACTCATGTTAGGAACAATGACCCTCCACAATGGTATGGTATTGCTCTTATGCTTTTACTTTTGGTTTCCCCAAAAGGCCTTATTACCTTACTTATAAAACTATGATCTTCTAGTTAAAAGATGGTCATACTAACCATTTCTTTTAGGGTTGATAGGGCTAGCTTTACAATATATTTAGGATGTCCATTTCTTTAGGAAGGTGAGGACCACTCAATTATTTAGTGGGTTGTTAAATGTGAGTTTGCTAACTTTATCTTTGCTATAGTTTGTAAGGCTATAAAAGTCAACCAAAGTTGTGCAATTGATTTCAGAGATTCTTTTGAGTTAGTTTGTGTGTTCACAACATTTGGTATTAGAGCAACATCATGCGATCATAATGCATGAGAGAGAGAAAAGAAACTGCAATTTTGTTTTTTTGAAGAGTGAGCTCAAAGAGATTTAAAATATAGTAGTCGAAACCAATATCGTTCAATTGTCAATTCCTAAGTTTGATGGCCATTATGATCATTGGTCTATGCTTACGGAAAAGGAGCCGATGGAATATTGGTCTTTGGTGGAGACCGAAAGTCCTACTGCAGCAGAAGGAGTGGAGATTACCGAAGCACAATAAAGACAATTGCATACCAGAAGCTGAAAGACTTGAAGGTTAAAATTATTTGTTTAAAGTCATTGATCGAACTATTTGGAAACGATCCTTAATAGAGATACTGTCAAACAAATTTGGGACTCTAGGAAGCAAAAGTACCAGGGTTCACAAGAGTCAAAAGAGCACAACTCGAAGCTCTTAGGAAAGAGTTTGAAGTCTTACAAATGAAGGAGGGTGAGAGTGTTGGTGCATATTTTGCTTGAACTCTCACCATTACAAACAAGATGAAAATTTATGGCGAAAATATGAAACAAGTGGTGATTATTGAAAAAATCTTGAAATCAATGACCTCAAGATTTGACTATGATATATATTCGATTGAAGAGTCGAATAACTTAAACACTTTAACCATCAATGAATTACAAAGCAGCTTGTTGGTACATGAGCAAAGACTGAATGGACGTGTAGGTAATGAACAAGCATTAAAGGTGACATATGATACTAGATTCGGTGGAAGAGGAGGTGATCGAGCTCGTGAAGCTTTTCGAGGTAGAGGTAGAGAGAGGAAAAGGAAGAGGAAGAGGTAGACATTCATTCAACAAAACTACAGTTTAGTGTTATAAGTGTCATCAATTAGGACACTCTAGATATGAGTGAGGTGTTATAAGTGTCATCAATTAGGACACTCTAGATATGAGGACTAGATATGAGTGAGGTGTTATAAGTGTCATCAATTAGGACACTCTAGATATGAGTGTCCTCAGTGGGAGAAGGGAGCAAATTATGCTGAGCTTGAGGAGGAAGAAGAAATGTTGTTGATGTCATATGCGGAGCTCAATCAATCAAGGAGGGAAAATGTTTGGTTCCTTGATTTGGGGTGTACTAATCATATGTGTGCAAATAAGAAATGGTTCTCAGATCTTGATGAGGAATTTCGACAATCTGTGAAGCTTGGAAATAATTTCAACATGGCGGTGCTAGAAAAAGGTAACATTAGGTTGCAAGTTGCTAGAGTCACTCAGGTAATCACTAATGTTTTCTATATACCTGAGTTGAAAAACAACCTTTTAAGTCTTGGAAAATTGCAAGAAAGAAGTGTATCTATCTTGATACAACATGGAGAGTGCAAAATTTATCATCCCAAGAAGGGGCTCATTATGCAAACAACAATATCTACAAATAGGATGTTCATATTACTTGCAAGAATCATGTCACAAACCGCCATTTGTTTTAAGAAAATTATAGAAGATAACACTCATCTTTGGCACCACAAATATGGACATCTAGGTTTCAAAGGTTTGAGAACATTGCAACATAAGCAAATGGTGAGAGGGTTACCCCAATTGAAAGCAACATAGGGATGCATTTCCGAAGAGAAGTTTATGGAGAGCAACACAAAGGATGCAACTGGTACATGTGTCTTCTGTGAACCCATCAAACCTCTTTCCAACATTAAGAAGAGATATTTTATAAGTTTTATTAATGATTACAGCCGCAAGGTATAGATATATTTTCTGCTAAAAAATCTGAAGCCTTTACTATCTTCAAGAATTTCAAAAAACTTGTTGGGAAAGAGACTGAAGATTTTATTTGTTGTCAACGCACAGATAGTGGTGGACAGTTCAACTCTCACGAGTTCAATATTTTTTGCAAAACTAATGGCATCCATAGACAACTTAGCAGCCTACACTCCCCAACAAAACAATCATGAACATGGTTAGAAGTATATTATCAAAGAAGCAAGTTCCAAAGAATTTCTGGCCAGAAGCAGTAAATTGGACAGTGCACGTGTTCAACAAAAGTCCTACCGTGGTAGTGAAAGATATGACTCCTGAGGAGGCTTGGAGTGGTGTAAAACCTAGTGTGGATTATTTTCGAGTTTTTGGATGCATTGGCCATGTTCATGTATCAGACAGTAAGAGAAAGAAGTTAGATGATAAAAATTTTCAGTGTATGCTGCTAGAGATGAGTGAAGAGTCTAAAGCATATAGACTATATGACCTAGTGTCCAAGAATATAGTTGTAAGTAGAGATGTGATTTTTGAAAAAAATAAGTGTTGGAATTGGGGGACAAGTAATGAAGAAGCTAGACTTGATACACTCAAATGGGAAGATAGTGATATAGAAGGAAGCGAACATGATCAAAGTGAGAAAGAATTTGAAGAGGAGGTGGTAGCAGAAGAAGGGGAGTTAGTATATCTTTTAGTGAATCATCTGAATCAAATTTTTCAACATCTGAAGAAAGCACATCCGAAGTGAGGAACAAGATAGCTTCATTATGGATGGAAGATTATGTGAGCGGAGAAGAATTTTTTGAAGTAGTTGAGCACAACAATTCAGTTCTATTAACCTCAACTACAGATCCGACTATCTTTGAAAAAGCTATACAAAGTTCAAAATGGAGAGTTGTAATGGACTTGAGGTTGCAACCATCCAACAAAATGAGACTTGGGAGTTGCGCTAGCAGCAATCAAAAGCGCACACTCGAAAGTGCTTCGTTCGAAAGGATCAGGTTCCCAGACTACTGACAGCACTGCTACGTGCTGGCACTCAATTAGTCGCGCTGGCACGTCACTCGGTTCCTCGGCGAACTTCGGTTGCAAAGACTTGATCCTTAGGCGCATGTCTCAGCAACACAAAACGAGGGTAAGTATAAGGCTAGGTTGGTAGTAAATGATTATGCACAACAACATATAGACTATACCAAGGTGTTTGCACCTGTGGCTAGGTGGGATACTATTCGAATAATAATTGCTTTAACAGCTCAGAATAGTTGGAACGTATATCAACTTGATGTGAAAAGTGATTTCTTATATGAAGAGTTAAAATAAGCAGTGTTTGTTGAGCAACCACAAGGTTATGAGAAAAAAGATCAAGAATACAAGGTATACAAACTAGAGAAGGCATTATATGGTCTTAAACAAGCCCCACGTGCATGGTACAGTCGAATTGAAGCACATTTTGTCAAAAAAGGATTTGAGAGGTGCAAGTGTGACCATATTTTATTCATACAAATAGGAGATGGAGGTAAAATTTTGATGGTTAGTCTATATGTTGATGATCTAATTTTTACTGGTAATGATGAGAGCATGTTTGTTAAGTTCACGAATTCTATGAAACTTGAATTTGAAATGACTGATTTGGGAAAAATGAAGTATTTTCTCGGTGTATAGATTTTACAAAATCCTAAAAGGCATTTATATTAGTCAAAGAAAGTAAGCCAAAGAAGTTTAGGATGGAAAAAAGTAATGGTATGAAAAGTTCTATTGTTTCTGGGGTTAGATTGACAAAGGATGAAGGAGCCGTCAATGCTACCCTATATAAACAATTGATTGGAAGTCTTATGTATCTAACTATAACAAGGCCGAATTTAATGTATGTAGTGTCTCTCATTAGCAGATTTATGACAGGTCCAACTAAGTTGCATTTGCAAACTGCAAAAAGGGTGTTGAGATACTTAAAAGGTACGGTAGATTTGGGAGTTATTTATCGGAAAAGGGTAATGGAGGGTTGATAGCATATAATGACAGTGATTATGCAAAAGATATAGATGATGGGAAAAGCACTTCTGGTTATGTGTTTTTACTCATTAATGGAGCTCTGTCTTGGTCCTCCAAAAAACAACATGTAGATACTGTGTCCACTACTAAAGCAAAATTTGTGCCAACTGCTTCTTGTGCTTGTCAAGGAGTCTGGATGAGGAGAGTTTTGGAAAACCTTTGTCATTTTCAAGACAAGTGTATCACTATGTTATGTGATAACAATTCCACTATTAAGCTATTCAAGAATCTCATCATGCATGGACGCAACAAACAAATTGATGTGAGGTTTCATTTCTTGCGTGATTTGACTAAAGATGGAGATATTGAGCTAAAGCATTGTGTCGCACAAGAACACATTGAAGATATTATGACAAAACCACTCAAACTGGATGCGTTCATAAAACTATAGTGAGTCAATGGGTATGTGTGTAGTACCACAAGTAAACTAAAAACATCCATGCAATCCGTTTAGGGGAGAAATTGTTAAAAGATGGTCATACTACTGTTTCTTTGGGTTGAAATGGCTAGCTTAGACCATATCTTAAGGTCTATTTCTTTAGGAATGCTAGGACCACTTTATGTGTTTCATTTTGAGTTACATCCTGGGTTCACAACACTTTCCTTTAATTAGCTAAGGTTAAAAGACTATTTCTATGTAAATATCTCGATATTGCTTACGTCATCATATTTGCACTTTTATTATAGCCAAATATCTTGTATTCATTTATACCTGTTTCCATATCCTCTCAAATTTATTTGATGATTATAAATAGAGAGCTTCCCACCATTTAGTTGGATGGTTTTAACAAATGTTCTCAGGGTAATGCAACAACAATCCTTTATTTTCAATGGTTTTTGAATCCTCTACTAATCTCCACCACCACTACTGGCTTTGACGCCGCAGGGGCAGACTCCATGGCTGACGACGCAGGTGAAGCTAATTGATTACTCTTTGGCTTCATCCTTTTGGCCTCAAAATCATCCTTCGCAGGCTACTTTGCCATACTTTGTACATACAACCTCACCTTCTCCAACACAATCGGTTTTTTCTTAGCCAACATAGTCTCTTTCATTTTCTTCCCAATCGACCCTTCATCCTTCATAAGATTCTCTAACCTCAGGATCCTCATCAGCGTTCTCATTGAAAATATTTAGAATCTCAACAAGCCCATCGACCTTCTGCAGAGATTTACCTTCAGAATCTGGACGCCGCATTAGCCTCTTCGCCAACCATGTCGCCACTGGCTTCCTTGCCAAAATCGGCTCCTTAACCCACTGTGGTGACTCTTACGACAGACGTGGCTTCCTCTCAGTCCATTGAAACTTCACCACCTGCTATAGCGCCGACTACTTCTCCATCGGCTCTGCCTACTGCTCCTTCGAAGTCACCAACGCAAACTCTAATTACAAAATATGCTCAAGATATTCTTACTGGTGCTCATTTCTCGATAGTAAACCAGTCCACAAGGCTCATAACTCATTCCGTCTCCGCCCCCCTCTTCATTTATTCGTCTAAAATACACCCAAAGTCCACATTCTCAGTTTCTGCCCTCTTCTTCCTCTCTTCTTTATAGCCACCATTGAACCTTCTCTCTGTCTCTTGCCATTTTCTCATAATAGGGTCATTGCCTTAATTCTGAGCCTCTACCTTGCCTCTCTATAGTCCACAGCCTCTCTATAGTCCACACCTTATGGTTGTTTCTCAACACCCGATTGCCGATGGTTCATCTTTCTCCATTTCCATACTCTCTCTCGTTTCATTCCCATTCCATTTTTAACGGCAATTTTTATATCTTCCAATGTTGGATTTGCATGAATTCTTATGGGAATTTTCCATTCTCTGTCTGCCTTTTTGTTCTATTCGCGGCTTGACCAAGGCCCTTCCAATGGCTCTCTCTCTATTCTCCTTCTTCCTCTTGTTTTCCCCTACCTATTTGCCTACTTCGTGGGTTAGACATATTTTCGTCGGAGCCAAGACAACACCACTGCTACCTGACAATCCCTCTAAAGTGATAGCCAAGAAAATACTATGTCGCTCAACCAGATGTCTCCTCCGAACTAGGTTGCTAACATCTTCACAATAAGTGTTTCTCGACCTCTCTTTAAATTACCAAATCCAAGTTTCAAGTTGTTTAAATCTGATGCTTACCTTGGGGTGTGTTAGAGAATATTTAATTCTAAATTACATTTTACCATATATATCATATTTGACTTTTTAGTACCTGCAAATACCTTATATGATTGACCATATTTAGCCTCCCATAATAGTTTACTATATTTGATTCTTTATAAGGCTGTTTAGATTTATATTTATTGTTGTTTACCTGTCTTTTGTAATTTATTTGATCCTTCTAAACAGAGAATTTGCTACCAATTATTTGGGTGGTTTTTTCAAATATTCTAATACTATCTTTGTGTCCACCAAAGCTATTGGAATTGGAATGTTTTGTTGCGGTTGCGGCTGCGTCGGACAACGACTATTCATCAAGAGAAGAAGTCGCAAACTTTGTAAGAAAAAGTTTTTTAGGCAAAACGGAGGCCTTCTATTGCAGCAAAAGGTACAAGAAGATAATGAGAGGGTCAAAATATTCTTACAGGAAGAGCTTGAAGAAGCAACTCATAGTTACAGCCAAACTAGATTTCTTGGTCAAGGAGGGTTTGGTACTGTTTACAAAGGGATACTCCATGATAACACTGTTGTTGCAGTCAAAAGGTCCAAGCGAATTGAAGAAGCCTGGATCGAACAATTCATCAACGAAGTTGTCATTCTCTCTCGAATTAACCACAAAAATATTGTTAGGCTTATTGGGTGCTGCCTAGAAGCTGAGTATCCTTTGTTAGTCTATGAATTTGTTTCCAATGGCACCCTTTCAAGCCATCTCCACCACACAGATCATGGAGAATCGTCATCTCTTTCATGGGAAACTCGTCTTGGAATTGCCTCTGAAGTTGCTGGAGCTATCTCTTACATGCATTCTGCAGCTTCAACTCCCATCTTTCATAGAGATATCAAGTCTCTTAACATTCTTTTGGATAATAATTATAGTGCAAAGGTTTCTGAGTTTGGGACTTCCAGATTTGTTTCATGTGATCAATCTCATTTGACTACGAGAGTGCATGGAACTCTTGGATACATTGATCCTGAGTACTTTAGATCAAGTCAGTATACTGAAAAGAGTGATGTATATAGTTTTGGAGTCGTAATGGTAGAGCTTTTAACGGGGAAACATCCTACCATATTTGCAAGAAATGAGGAACGAAATCTATTAGAGGACTTCATTGCATTGGAAAATGGTAAGGAGGTTGTTGGAATTGTGGATAGTGCAATAGCCAAAGATGAAGAAACGATGGAGGGTGTTAACTTGGTGGCAAAACTCACGGCCAAATGTTTAAGAGCAAATGGGAAAGAGAGTCCTACAATGAAACAAGTGTATTTACAACTAGAGGGATTGAGGAAGGCTCAAGCTCAACGTTGTTCAACATCCAATTCATTTTGCTCTATGGCTCCTAGTGATGAAGATCTTCCAAGATGACAACACTGCCCTATTAGGTTCATATTTGACCGTTTAGGTTCATATTTGACCGTTTACTATAGTCAAATATCTTGTATCATATTTATCTTTCTATGGTGGTTTATTATAGATATTATATTTGACTTTTTATGAGAGACAAATATTTAGGTTACTTCCCTTCTATTATATGTAAATATCTTGTGTCCTCTTATTACTATTACTATTTCTATTTATTGCTCTTTACAAATTGTAATTTATATGATTTTGTCTCCAGATATTTGTTTATAATAAACAGTCAAATATGAGACAAAATTTTGCACTTATAGAAGGGAAGATAGGAGACATGAAGTAGGTGGTGGAGATGGAGATGGGGACGGGGACAGCTTCCCCGTCCCCACCCGTGGACGTCTCTAATAGCCTTCCTCGTCCCCACCCGTTGACAGCTCTAATGGTTAGTAATGCAAGTCTTTGAACCAAAAGACAAGGCAATTTTTAACTTATAAAAGGAAAGATAGAGACATTATTGTCCTAAGCCTTTATTTTCCTTTGGTTTTTGTTATCAACAATTTGCTCTATGATCTATGGCCAACTTCTATTATTCAAAACCCAAACTCCATTCATCCACCACCTTTTTATTTCTTCTTTGCCTTCTACTTGCAGGCCTACAACTTTCAAGTAAGTCCTTCTCTCTCTCGATATTTGATCTCTTGAAATTATCGAGTTTAATACCTAGAATAGAAAAATACATCTAAATTTTAAGATTTGGTTAAACAATTCTTGAATATCGAACGGTTAGAGTTATAACGAGACTTACCGAATTTGATTCAGGTGCTAATCAGACATTCCCAACAGAAATGAACCATAGTTATAGTCAAAGCAACATCCAAAGAATTCGACTTGACAATCCGACCCTGGGCTTTCTTGTGGAAAAGAACTTGCCATTGCTACTCAATTTGTACCCTTACTTGAGTTATATCAACACCCATAACATGCCTCTCAATTATGCACTTTTACAAGGACGTCCGCTATTGTTCATGGCAAATTTGTTTACCAAAATATGTTCCATGACTTTTTGGATGCTGTTTATTCCGTGTTGGACAAGTCCAATGGCGAAGAGGACTTTGTATCGGATAGTCGTTGGCTGACCGACGTTGCGGTAGAATTGTTTCAAACAAATTTTCAAGTTGTTCAACATAGAACTATTCCAAGCAAAGCACGTTTAAGTATGAAGTTTTTATGATTGAGTCACAAAAAAGAAGGTGCATCTTATCTTATTAATGCATGTAATAACTTTCAATTCTTGTAAGTCTTTTTGAGTCATTCTATCCTCAAGATCTTTATCATTTGAATATAGTATCGATTTACTCATATATTCTGAATGTCACAACTTGGTATTTGGATAATAGTTTGCAACAATCACATGATAGGAAATACAATTTACTTTGTTAAGCTTGATCATAGTTTAAGCTCTCAAGTAAAGTTCCCGTGATAAGATTAAGAAATGAAGAAAAACGTAAGATCCCAAATCGATTGGAGAGAAGAACGAGTGTCAACAATGATGCTGTACCTTAAACGGAGGTAGATTGTGAGATCTCACATCAGTTAAGAGAAAGACAATGTATTTTTTACAAGAACGTAAAAACCTTTCTCTAGTAGATGCATTTTTAAAATCTTGAAAGAATTTCAAAAGAAAAAGTTCAAAAGCTGACAGAGAACAATATCTACTAGCAGTGAGCTTGTGTGTTAAATAGGTGAGCATGCTATCACCTAGCTCACTTACCCATCACTTCAAGAATCTTCCCTAAACCATGCATAATATTAGGAGTTATGTGGGCTTATCCTTTAATAATCTCTCGACATAGACCACAAGACATCTGTCAAGAGAGAATACGTGAGTTAGAAGGTAAGTGTTTTTGATATGTAGAAGAAGTAAGGAAGGGGAAGGAAAGGGCTAAATTTAAAGAGAAGCGGTGGAGTAGGAACCCACCACGTTTAACTTGGTGGCAGGCTTCTGCAGGCATTCCTTTTCCTCTGCACAATCCACCACCGCCTTCCCTTGCATTCTCTTCAACAGCTATTCTCTCTCTATCCGCCATGGAAGAAGAGCTTGTTTGATTATGGCCGATGAACCACCTGTGTTCATCAGGTTTTGTTTATTTTTCTTCCTGTCTTAGCTTTTAGGATCTTTGATGTCAAGATTATGGATAAAAGTTTTCTTTGATTTGTCAGGATGGAGGGATATCGCAGCATAGACTGGAATATAGAAGAACAACTGTCCTCCGGTGATGGCCTGAGCAGTGAAAAGATATGCTCCGCCGTGCAAAAGGGTTGCAGTCTGGGGAAGAAGCTTCTCCTCACTGGTTTAGCCATATCCTCTGTTCCTGTGGTTCTTCCTCCATTGGTTATCATGTCAGCCTTTGGAATTGCAGCCTCAATTCCTTATGGGGTCTTCCTCGCCTCTTATGCTTGCACTGAGACGATCATGAGTGTTTGGCTTCCGATTCCCCCGGCCTTGAAGCTCGACCGCGCTGACGAAGAGATGGTGGAGGAAGACATCTACGAAGATGAAGAAAAACATATGATGGAAACAGCTAAGAGAGGTGAGAATTTAGATGATTTCGATATCGATGTGGTAGTCGTTCAGGGGGGCGAAGAGGGTGAAACCGACATTGGAAGCAAAGGTCTGGCAGCAATTGAAGTGACCAATGTGGAATTTGAAGGAAATGGAGATAATGGAGATGAGGAAGGAGAGGAAGAAGAGTTGAAGGAAACTAGAGGTTTACTCGAAAGAATCAGGGATGAGGGAAGAAGAGACAATGGTTTTGTTGATGAAAATGGAGGTGTTGATGATGTTCGAGAGCTCGAGATTTCAATAGAGGACGAGAAACCAAGTGATTCTGTCGAAAAAAGTGTTCTAGGTTTGTTGAATGAAGTTGACTCTGCTGCTGTTTATCCTCATGCAGACTATAGAACTTCTGAAGGTAATTCATTTCTTTTGTTTATAAGTTAAGAGTTAGAATTCGAGCCTATGTTTAGAACGCGAATCGGTTTATTATTCCGAGTTACGAGTTTGCTAATAACTTACGATATCTCTTTTCGGGTTGAGGATTTGAATATCTAATCTTTGTCATCGGAATTAAAGGGGTCGGGTGGGCGAAATCTAGTGATGAAACAAATGCAATAACGACATTGTCAAACAAGGCAGCCAAGTCTGAAGAAGCTGAGCAACTTCCTAAAGTAACAATGATAGATGTGATCGAATCTGATGAGGGTTTGTCTATATCAGCTATGACCATTGAACACAAAGTTGAGGCAAATTCTCCACATAAAGATCATAGGATGTCTTCCAATGAGGTCAGTACATAATATAAAGACATCGATTCAATCCGAATACTATGACCTTGTTTCCTTCGTTCTTTGTTTACCGATCGAGCTAATGACTAGGACTAACAAGTACTGAGTTGTAATTGATGTCTGTTTGGCATCAACTTTGGATACTCACTTTCTTCAGCTTGGTTTGAAATTCCTGAGTTTTCCATTTTCGTTTCGCAAGGAACTATCAGGAGAGGTAAAGATAAGAGAAAAGATTGCTTCGATGAAGAAGATCGTAGGATACAAGGCTACCCCCCTCGGAACATACTTAGACGAAGTGAACGCTCTATATGCCTTCATCGGAGTCGAGCCACCTTCCCCGATGAAAGATTCTGCTAATGATGATGATATCAATCTACTTAACCAGAAGTTGCAGTTTCTCATGTCCATAGTAGGGGTCAAGTAGAGGTGTTAAAAGTTTGGCATTGAATAAGTTGCCATTTGTGCACTTTTGTTTGCCAATGGCAATATTTCCTTATGTTTGAGCTATGCACAGTTAGGTTTTGAAATTATGTACCAAATTTTGAACAGTTTGTCTACTTTTTTCCCTCTTTCTGTTCAGTTCTTTTCATCCACAAGGTTTCTTGAATCACTCATGGGTGTTAGGAAGTGAAAAATCCAAGAGATCTATGAAATTTAAGCTTAAATGATGAAGAGTGATCGGACAAAATTGTAGAACATTCAATAACTGAAGTGAGAATCAAAGATTCAGAGTGATGAAGAAGAACAAAACTTCAAATCATGAACTATATTAGTGTTATGAGAGGCACCTGAGTCTTGCAAATGTTAGATAACCAGTGTGACCTCTGGCCTCACTACATGGCCTAACCATTACCGTACTCGAATCACCGTTTGTGTCGTTAGCTTCCTTTGATCTCACCCGCTTCTTGCACGGTGGAAGCTCGACAGAACCACCTCCTTCAACCTGGCTGCTCTCTGTTTTACCTTCTCGAACCTCGTAAGTCCGAAGCAATACCTCAAATGTTCTTATATCTACACAAAAGGGACGACGACAATAGTGAATAATACAAATCAACATATGTCTAGGAATGAAGGTATATAAATGGGTCATTTGGAACAACCTGTAAACTTAGATCGTAGAGTTTCGGCTGACCGTTGAACTTGCTCGATACATGGAGAGAACGAGCATAATACGCCATCTTGTTTCAGCATTCTTTCAGCTGAAGGAATGGCCAACCAAGGCTGAGGTAGATCCAAGAAAACTGAATCTGCCAATCCAACAAACTCTTCAGGAAAGCCCTGACCTTGAACATCTCTAACTCCCACAGTGACTAAGCTGGTCAAGCCAGTCTTCTCAAAATCCTCTCTGAAAAAAGAGGGAGACAAGCAAATCATCATAGAACACAATTACTCTGCAGAGTAACTTGACAACATACAACAGATCTCAGTTCCTACCTCGCCGAGGCAGCTCTCTGTTCATGAAAATCAAACGTATAGACGTGTCCTGTAGGCGCTACAGCCCTAGCTAAAGACGTCGTTAAAGATCCACTGCCCGTCCCTGATTCTAGAATCAAACAACCAGGAACTATCTCTAAGAACATAATTACAAAACTAATGTCCGCAATGTATAGAATCTGTCCTGTGGCTTAGAACCAAAGTCCATAATTCAGGAGTTGGGGCTAACAGGTAAACA